ATAAGCGTTTGTTCCACCAAGCACGCTTGTTATAAATTTTCCCCTGGTAGAAGCACTTATATTTTATTGTGTTGATTCATTCTCACGATATTTTGTACCCTCACACTGCAACAATACTTATTTCGATCTAGTAAACTCTGTATGGCATCGATCACTTTACAAATAACATCCTCTGTTGATCTATCTGGGAGGAACCCATGCTGTTTTGGACTGAGAAACTGTATATTTTCAAGATGATAGGTTATCCTTTGACTGATGAGGAAGTCCAATACCTTCCCCATCACTGGTAGTAAACTCAGCGGTCTATAGCTTTTTGCTTGGCTCTTTTCAACTTGCTCACCTTTAGGTATTATTACCAGTTTAGCTGTCTTCCAGATCTTTGGAAAGATGCCAAATCTAAGGCATAGATTGTAAACTTTACCAAGATAAGTAGGGTTGATATCCCAGATCTTGTGTATAATTTCTGCTGTCATTCTATCATTTCCCGGCGCTTTTCCTGACTGCAGCCGATGAACAGCATTATTAATCTCTTCCATAGTGAACAATGGTTCAGTTGTCCCCACATATGGAGTGCTGATTTCCTGTCTGATTAGTTTGTGTTCCATCAAGTCTTTAGCAGGATCATTATCTGGAAAAAACACTGTCATAAGTGCTTGTACTGTTTCATCATACCCCTCTGTGTATCCTTCATTTACGTTCAATGCTGTGAGATATTGCGGCAGTTTCAACTTTCCCGCACACGCCTTGTAAATATAGTTCCATTGCTTTGTTGAGCTCCTAGTACAAAACTTCCTCCATGATTTTATCTGTACTTCCTTTATCTTTTGCTTGTAGGATTTGCAGTGTTCTAGGTACTCTCCTTTCTTCCTACTTCTTTCCTGATTGTTCCTTGTTCTTTGGTACCTTCTGCGGAGTTGATTATTGATTCTCCGCAACTCACCTAGTTCTTTTGTCCACCATGGGACTGTCCTCTTACTTCTTCTCTTCCTTGGTATCGTCATATCACAGATATCCACCACTGATGTATGAAATGCTGTTATTTTGTCTTTCGCTTCTACACTGTTTGTGATATTATCTAGATTCATATCTTCTATTGCTACCTCCAGCTTCTTTTGGAAAAGTTTCCAGTCTGCTCTGTTAATGGCATATTGTGCCATATCTTCTTCCTCTGTCCAGCCTCACTGCCCATTCTCTATGAAGATATAATTGTGATCGCTGAGGCTGGAAATTGGTGCCACAGCCCAGCTTTGGATTAACCTCAACGCTCTGTTGTTACACATTGTTATATCAATCCAGCTTTGGCCATTTGGGCCTTCAAAGGTGGGCAATGACTCAGGATCGTTTAAGATGTGCATTTCATTCGAGCCCACAAATTCCAGCAACAGTTCTGCTCTTTCATCATTCTTAGGATCCCCCCACATCTGTGAGTGGGCATTCAAGTCGCCTCCTATTATAATATTTTTGTTCTTAAAGTTTCTAATCAATTCATCTAGTTCGCTGAATAAAGGTCCTAAGTCTTCCGTTATTGGGCAATAAACACTCACCAAAATTACACTGTTGTTACCTCTTCCAATTTCTATGCAAGTCATTCTTCTGTTACTCCATTGGGTGTAGTATAGCACTGGGATGGAATTGTTGTTGATTATAGCCAAAGTCTTTGGTTTTTCACTCTTATTATATAAGGTTCGGTAAGATACTCTTAGACAGCCCGGTGTGCCTCTCAGGCAATAGGGCTCCTGCACTAAAGCAATATCCATCTTTTCCATTACTTTACATAGTGCAGATGTCGCCCCTATGGATCTTTGCGTGTTTACTTGTAATACTTTTATCCTTTTATTTTCTTCCTGATTAGTTGTAGCCATAGTCTATCTTAGCTATTATAATTTGTCTTACTTTTTGTATTATGGGGCACTTCTTGTCGCATGCATTATGATTGGTATCTTTGAGTTTCTCTTTTCTACAATTACAGCAGTCAGCTCTTGCTTTGTTTGGGCAATCTTTAAATCTGTGATTCTGTCCGCATTGACTACAGACAATATCCTTTTCTGTACAATTTTTCGCTATATGTCCGATTTTACAACACTTATAGCATTGAGTGACATTTATATATTCTTCTATGCCACACTTTGACCAACCAAGATTTATTTTCTTTTTTGTCATCAGTAATTGACGGACTCTTGGGCTTATTTCAGCCACCCAGTTCACTGTTTGTTTCTCCCTACTACCGTACTTGAATTTCAGTTCCACTTCTTTTCTGTATTCATCGATGTCTATATTACTATTTATGATTTCATTTTGTTCAAATAAACATTCTTCTACTTCTTCTTTTGGGGCATCCTTGGCCACTCCATAGATGACAATACGAGGTCTTCTCTTCACTGGCTCTCTGGTTTTCAGGCCAGTCTTTTCTTCAATTTCTTTTCTTAGCTTTTTCTTTTCTTCTTCTGTGTTAACTTCAATCGCCACTCCGCCTCTTTTTAATTTTCGTACCGCCTGGATTCCAACCCCTAGTTGCCTTGGGTTGATATTCTTCTTTAAGCGATCCTTGGTCTTTTCTGGGTCTCCACCCTCCTGTTCTGGCTCCACCAATATAATTTCTTTAGGCTGTTGCTTTGCCTTTTTTGACACTACTTGTGCGTAACTCTGCACTGGCATTGCTGTTGGTGTTGAAAGTACTTTATCCAACTTTTGGTTGATAGAGTCCATCACAGTTCGAAGTGGATCCTCTTCACTGTCTCTTAAGATATCGATGATCTTGTCGATCTTCTCACAGATGAACGTTGTGTGTTTTGTCGTCATCTTGCTAGTATTGTTCGCCATCATATATTCTTGAATTTCATCGCGGATGCTTTCCGCAAGTAGTACTCTCTCTGCTTGGTGAGACACTTCCATCTCCTGGGATGACGTCTCGTCATCCGTTTCGGAAACTTTCGGCCTCTTGGCCATAGTCCTTAAAAGGACTCTTTCTAACGTTTTGAACAAGCGCAGTTACTGATTGGTTTCACCCACTAGGGGTTACTCACAGGCAGGATCAACTGGGAGGTTCAGTAACTGCTTCCCCTAAGGCCTCGTTAAAGCGCAAAAATAAAATAGCACAATCTAAAGGCACTGAAAAGCCTAAAATAGACGCACAGAACTCACTAATAAGCACAAACGAAACAAATTGGGGCACCCTGCCCTATATATATATATATACAGTTGACCTCCCTATAACACTGTTGATTTTTCCATTTTATATGAATTCCATGTTGTACGAGTTGCTTAGATTTTACAAATACGTGAGCCGTTCACAGCCCGACACACGTATTTGTAAAATCTAAATGATTGTACAACATGGAATTCATATAAAACAGAAAAATCAACAGTGTTATAGGGGAGGGTCGACTGTATATATATATATGATACTACTAATTTGAGGTGGAGAACCACCTCAAATTAGTAGTATCTTGCCCCCTGTACATCATACTTTTCCTTTAACAATAGAATCGTGCCAGTCATCTATTAATTGCTTTCAGGGGAAAACTTTTGAATTGAAATAACATGACTTACGGTACAAACTAGAAGTTCATATATAGTCAATCGGGGCCTCCTGCCCCTAAGGTTTCCATATCTAGTCTCATTTTCATCTAACTAATTCTGTTGTTGAGATTAAGGAAAGACAGACAGATGATAGTGGGAATTTAAAGGTCTACAATTTTTTTAAAATTGCAGCCCAATTAATAAATAATTAAAGATGAAAAAACAAAATTTACTAAAAAGTTACAAGTTTATTGTGTTATTAATAACTATGGATAATGATAAAGTATCAGTCTCATTTATTATGAACTATAAATACTAATTGTTATATATAAAATTACTTTCATTTTATGCGAATCAGCTTGCATGTTAATGGGATAGCATGTTAATAGCAGTAATTGCAAACATTAGAAAATTGTAAACAAGATTTTCTTTGTAAATAAATCAATTATAACAAATTATTTTTTAAAATGTGACTATTTGCAATTCCATCTTATGCAATAAATTAATAAATCGAAACAATTTACTTCTAGATGTCATTCATTAATCCTTTTTTAATTCATAATTTTAAAAAAAATTTGAAAAAAACATCCACAAGAAAATTTTTAATAGCAATATCTTAAATCTAAAAGAAATGTTAAATAAAACATTATTATTTATTACTAACTATTAATTAGTTGAAAAACATTTTCAGATTCAATAACTCAAAAATAACATCTCAAAAATTGTGTTTTTATGTAATAAATAATTACATTATTTTATAGAAGGCTGTTTAAAGTACAGCTTACTACAAATGAAAACAAGATAATTTGATAAATAATTTACAAAAAGAAGTTTCTTTTCAGATATTCAAAAAATACTTATTTAAGGAAATTACAACACAATATTTATCTAAAACAATAAATGAAATTAAGAGAAATTAATATTAACTATTAAAATGTATATCAAAATCAGCCAATGCCAATATGCATTGCAGTAATTAATAGCAAGGTTGCAGCCAAAGTTTTCATCTCTAAAGCGTGGATATCGAATGTCGAGCACCATCTTGTAAGTGGTGCTCGATGTTTGACATTCACATTTTAGAGATGAAAACTTTGGCCACAACCTTGCTAATACTAAATCTTCATCTTCACCGATTAAATATTTTTAATATGTAACAATTAATCCAAACATTCAATCAGTAAAGGAAATTAAGCATAGCAGCACTAGCCAATGCCACTATGATTAATTATATCTCCCATTGATCTATTTATGTATGTAACATTGATACCAATCAATAAAGGGATAAAAATAGCAATAAAACTTAATTTATAGCTTAAAAATAAATTCAAATTATTAATAAATATAGATAAGATGTATCGGATTCGGTAGGTGTTACTTTTAGTTAATTTACCTATATACAAATACGTAAAAAGTTACCTAAAAGTAACTCCTACCATATATTTTTATATTTACATTTAAAAACCTTCAAATATGCTTTTTACCTTCGATCATTCCTCTGTTAGTCAAATTAAGCTGCCCGCTTTTCCTCGCTTGTTTAATAATTTGAATATGAACAGTTTGTTCCTTGCTTTGAGGATGAAAACAAGCGCTAACATTTTCAGCTTTCGATCTGTTCCCTCCGAATGCTTTTCTTCTCGGAATACCCGACATCTTGTACGATTTACGTTTATAGAAAATTTTATTACACTTTATATTATCATACCACCATCATTCAAAAAATTATAATATAGGTTAATATAGCAAAACAAACGACGATCAAGGATAGCGCGGTATTGAACTTGTTACTGATTAGCACGCCATCACGACCCAGTGTTTACGTAATTGTTTTTGATCTCAGCGTGAAGCTCGATTATATAAAATTAACTTTATTATTTTACTATAAATATGTTAATATTACGTAAATTAATTTAGTTCAAATTTCAATAATAGAGGTAGTAAATTGAAATTTTTATAATTAATAATAATTTTCTTATATGTTAAATTAGTTATAATATAATATAATGTCTAACTTTTAAATTTTTTAATTAAAATTTATATATTGTTTTAAATTTGTTGTAATTTAAATTATAAAAATAAAAATTTTAAAAATTTAGTAAACATAATGAAAGTGGCAACACTGTCGCTTTCAGCAAACAGAAAATAAGTGTCGAGTTTGGTGGAAGGTAAGAGTTTTGACTTATAGAAATAGCTTTTGTAATAGAGAATAATGAATTATAATGTAATTTAATAACATTTAGATTTAAGTCATGCACAATGCATTAACAATTTTATAAAAATCATAATGTTTAAACACTTGTTTTCTGACTAGATTAATACTTCAAAGTAAACAATTCCCATTTCAAAGATTCACATTACATTAAAGATTATAAATCATATACACACAGTTGTTTGAGTTAACAGTCGCATCTTTATAAGCTTATTTAGCTTCGTGTAAATGAAGAAACTAAAAGAATCCATTATAAACAATCGAGTAACTTCAAATAGCTTATAAATTTAATAAATAAAATAAGAAAAATATCAGACTGATTTTCCTTACTGTCATTCTTTTACTTATGAAAGTGTTATATAATATACAATACTAATTAATTATCTTATCTTC